ATGTTCATGACAGGTGTTATGTCATGTTTATGACAGTGTCATGACAGTCTTATTCAACCCCCTTCAAATAAAGTGTTACCCAAAAGTCTTTATACCCCTTAGACATTTTCATATTTTGTCATATTACAACCACAACCCTCAATAATAAATCCTAATTTTGGGATTGATTTTAGGTGATAGGCCTAAACTAAGTAATGTATAACAAGGAGGAGGACGGAATAGGTAGCTAGTTTAAATTCTTATTTTATTTTTTGTCTATTCAAATTTGTAAAATAGCTCATGCTGAGGAAGACTGGATGGATAGTGTTTATGAACATCAATTTCCAAGCTTTGCCACAGATTCTGAATGGACCATTCTAACATTTCATAATTCAATATGCTTTGGTCTTTGTGATGTAGCTCTGGCTATTTGTTTGGCATCATTTTTCAGTTGAAGCCAAACCTCGGTAATACATTTTTTCCAGCCAACATATCGAGTGTTTTCTATTAAATTGACTGTTGTATTTCTGATCACAAGTTTATTTATTTATATTTTTTCTCTTTTTTCCTCAGTATTATTATTTATTATTATTACTTTGTATACTTTAAGAGTTTACTTGAGGTAGAATTGTTTTTTTTGTTTGTTTGTTTGTTTTCCCGCTTGTTGGGCTTCCTGTGGGCAGAGCTGGTGGCAAGGCTCTGCACCACAGGGAAGTCAGTCTGTGGTTAGAATCTTGACAAGTCCCATAGAGGGTGATAGACTCTTTCACTGAAGGTACTGCTGTTTGTCTGTTTTTAACCTGCCTTGGACGTCCTTTGTATATTTTCTGCACCTCTCCTCTTGTTGGACATTTCTGTGAATTTAATCAATAATAATGTATTTCACTTAGTGATATAGTTAGTGAAATAAATTGAATTTTTTATTAGTTAAATGGATCTGTAAAATCTGCCCTGCCCTGAGAAAAACACTCCCACACTATGATGCTGTCATCACCATGTTTCATCATGAGGATGGTGATTTCAGGGTGTAAATCTTCTGCCACATCTAACTTTTTAAATATAAGTTTCATTTAGTTTACCTTTTTCCATGCTTAATGTTTCTCTTGTATGGCCTGAGCCCAAGTGAAAACATGACTTCTAATGCATCTAACGTTTTCTTCTTGACACTTTTCCAAAAAACTAGAGTTGAGAAGAGCACAGTTAATAGATGTCCTATCAACCCATGCCGTAGATCTTTGAAGATTCTCCAGAGTTACCCCTCAAAATTGTGTTGCTTTGTTTTGTTCTTTTTCTGAAAATCCCAATAAAATAAAGTGGTTGTACAAAATGGGCTATGAATATGTTTGAAGGACATTGTACGAGCTTTTGCTATCTTATTTGTTGATGTAATGATTTGCAAGAATTGAATGTGTGTTTTGTTTCTTTTTTCAGCGCCTGGACGTGTTCGCCACCTGAGCTTCACTGACATCCTCGACACATCCCTTCGAGTCAGCTGGGCTGAGCCACAGGACAAGAATGGCATCATCACTGGTTAGAGCATTACATCTTGGCAGTGTATAATCACCAATCATATCTTCTATCTGCCTCCACATCCCCCTCCATAATCCTAGAACTTTTATATTATTTGCCGCTCTATCATGAGACAAGTTTCAGTAAGTTGTCACTATCTGTTCCCACAGGTCATTAATATGTGCAATAGAAGGAAAAAATATCGACAATTTTTCCAATTAAAACATATTTTTCTGAGGTGGAAATATACGGTCCTGAAAATCTCTAATTGAAGAAGGATTGTAAAGGCTCCTCTTCAAAAGAACCTTCTGTTAAGAGTTTCCTCCATATTCTCTGACATCCAAAGACCCCCCTTTATCACTGACATTATGTTTGTGTACAACTGATTCATCATCAGCTAATCCCTTCCCTCTGCAGTTTGTCTTCCCACATTATTGCAAACATGCCGTCATCTCACACATCTCAACACCCAGGGTGTTGTTTGTGCGGCACATCGCTGAGCAGAAGAGCCCCCTCATTTATTTTTCCTCTGCTTCTCCGTGGGTCTGTCAGATGATGTTGCTGAGAAGCACAACAAGATGCTGGGAATTAATTATGTGTGTTAAGAGCGCATATATATGTATATGCTGGTTTTGGCGTGTCCAACGTTCACCCCAGCAGAGGTTTTACAGTCAGCTTCCACACTCAGACAAATGAGAAAGTGTGCATTCAATCAAGGTCACCTTGCACATTTACTCTTTTCTTCTCAACCTGTTTTTCATCCAGAACCTGGTGAGCCCATAGATAGATGAGGGACCGGTTGCTCTCCTTAGGGCTTTCCACACAAGTGGCCTCATCACACACACATTTGAGTGTGGTGGAGTGTGATGCATGACTGTGAAGATGCAAAGGGACAGACAGGGATTTTGACTCTACTTACTCCTCCCACACTCCCTCCTCCTGCTGGGCTGTAATCCTCTCATTGCACAGCGGCTCACAAATGTGTTCATACACCTTCAACTTTATCGTGTTTCGTCACGTTATAACTGTATATATATATATATATGTGCATTAAATTGGTACTTTATATGACAACAAATCAAAGTAGTGCAGAATTACAAAGTGGAATGTTTTCTACAAATAAAAATAAGGTGCATTCCCACCAGCCCTGTTCGGTCCACTTTAACTGAACTTTAGTTCGTTTAACTAGAAGGTTTGCTTCAATTGGGATATTTTTGTCTGTACATGACACCACATGTTTTTATGCATGTTTATTAACCCAGCCTTCTTCCCAACCCCTCTGACAGGTTACATACTGTGGTGGGAGGTGCCTAGTGTAAGGTCAAGCCGAGTGGAGCGCTCCGTGTCCAACTCCACCCTGGAGTACCAGCTGACAGGTCTCACCTCAACCACTGCGTACACCATTCAGGTGGCAGCGCTGACGGGTGCAGGACAGGGCGTGGTCACGTCTTCCACCGTATCCACCGGCGTCCCACCAGGTGCAGTAAATAAACAAGCAAACATGCGTGAGCCTGTAAAAGTGGATGTTAGAGTCAGTATTCTTATGGCGTGTGTGTGCGTGTGCGCGTGTGTGTGTGTGCACTTGCGTGGCAAAGTAAATATGAGTGATGAGCTCTCATGAAGCTGTTGTCATTCTTCAAACTGATAAGTGGCTGTTTCTGTGCCTCCATGAATCATCACCCACACAGCCGACACACGCTTTCACATTCTCACTCAGACAAAAGTCTGCCATTTACTGCAACTCAGTCCTAGTCATTTTACTGTTTGTGTACTATGTGCAAGCTTGCTTTTGCGGGCATGACAAGTTCATGGGACTGCCCAAATTGCAGTTATCATTACAGCTGATTAACTGCAGACAAGAGATGCAACAATTAATTGGGCAGGACATGAAACAATCAGAAGAAGGTTGGAAGAGAGCTAGGGGATGCCCAGATGGAAAATGCAAGTAAATGCAATTTTCTTAGAAGGGAGGACCAAAGTCTCTGACAAATGGACTGTGTGGCAGTGGCGAAGAATGGATGGGGGGAAAAAGCCAGTCCTCATGCAAGCAGGAATTTTGTCCCAATATTATCTAATGACTAATTTATGAGTAAAAGCAGAAAAAGTGAAAGCAAGATGGATCCAGACAGTTCTTAGATTCAGAGGTTATTGATTAATTCATGAAAGCAAAAGAAAGAGAGAGAGAAAGATGAAAGATGGAAGATTAGGAAAAATAACTAAAGAATGAAAAGAGAAAGAGAGATGGGAGCATTCCACCAAACATAGATTCCACTCTGGTTTACTTATTCATGAATTCATGGAGTTGAGAAAATTTTGTCATTCATCTAAGCCAGGCAGCTGATATCAACATTTTCAGATTATAACCTTTACAAGTTCACTGAATGAATTTGGAGAAGAGTGGTGACATTTGGGGGGGAAATTATCTGGTGGTTCACACAAATGGTGCTCAGGTCAGAAGTTTACATACACTCAGGGTAGACATGAAGGCTATATTTGGTTTGAGCTTGAAATTATCTATTTTAAATGTTAACCTCAGTATTTTTGATGTCTTTATGGTCATTATCCATGTAAGAAAAAAATATTTCCACTTGGCTTCTGTAGTCTGTTGTCCATGTGTAGTCCCCGTTTGCTTTATGGTAAACCACAGAGTCTATTATCACTACTGGCTTTGGAAATTTCATTTGTGAGGCAATTTGCTTGCCTGAATGGACTAATAAACATCTAATAATTTACTGATATTCCATGATGTTTTTTAGGAATAGTAACAGGGCTTCCCCCAGAACACCCGCTAAGCCTGGTGGTAGGGGGGATATGGCAGCCCTCAAAGTTTTTGTACTAAAAAATTTTGAAAGGGACAGTGCCCAGTTCAGTGTATCAACTATAAACCCTATATGGTTGAGTAATTAGCAATTTTTTCATTAATTTTTTGCATTTTGTGGTGTACAAAAAGCAATGTCCTGAAATATTTGCCGAAATTCCAAACATTCAGTTTTGGTCTTGGTCTTGAAAGAACCGTTCTGCACTCCATCCCTGGTAGCAACACTGGACTTGAACAGTTTTCAATTCAAGACTTGAAAGTTTGTGATCCTGGACCTTTTACCAAATTTTCTTGGACATTTAGGGACTAATGATTCAAGCTTGAACTTCACTGGGAATTCCAACAAAAAACATTGTAGGCGCAGATGAATAATCAGTCCACTTTGAAAAAGAAGTGGTTCAAAAGCATCACTAAAATAAAATTTAGAACATTTCTTCAAGCTTATGATGACTAGGTGAATATTTGACTAAAACAGTTGAATTAAGACTCAGTCAAGCAATAACTGAGTCACTTTACAACTTTCTGTTAAAGTGGAAAACCCACTTGATAGTTTCAAGCCTTAGACAGCATTTGATGTTAGAAATGAAGCCCTAGGCGGAAATTCAACCTGTAAGACTCTTCCGGCATCACGTATCACCTCGCCTTCACCCCAGCCAATCAGGACGCACCACCTCTACCTCGATCCAATCACCTGGCTCCTTCAAAAGACGAAGCGACCACAGATCCACCCGCTTCAGTTGTGCTTCAACCCACCTTCTCCCCGTTTCCACCACCAGCCTCCCAGATGCCTCCAGGTCCCCTCAAGACTCCTCTCGCCAAGCTCCGCTCCACCACCAGTGACTGGGCCCGGGGGAAGACCTACCTGAGCTTTGTTCGAGCCGATCATTCAAGCTCGCTGCGATTCTCAGCACGCATGTCTTCCGCCGGTGTCCGAGCGCCAAATTCTCGGTCCAATGTTTCTCTCTCTGTGTGAGTCTCTACAGATTGAAATGGCCTTTACAGATGTGTTAATGTCATGTTCAACTTCAGACTAAATCATTGGATTACCGTAAATCTTTAAACCTCAAGTGTTAATCAAACGCATCACAGAAAAGTGCTTCTGCTGTCTTTGTTGTGTTTGACTTGGGCTGCTGAGTGCAGACGAGATTGCGTTTTTCAGTTTTATTGACAGAAGCAAGCTGTCAAGTGTTTGATTCATTAGCACTAGATTTAAAAAACTGTTGTGCATAACTAATGCCAATTTCATTCAGCAGCTGTCAGTTGTCTGTTCGGGGGACTTGCTATAAATTATGTGTGGCAATTGAAAGTCTGACATCTAAAAACCATTTATATGAATATTTAGCTGTGGCTGAATTGTGCATATGAAAGAGCTTATTGTTGCTGTCCGATTTATTCCCGGTTATAAAAAGCACAGTGTGGAGGAAATAATTGTTCCCATGTTGTTGTTGTTGTTCTGCCCCAGCCTCTGAGCAGCTTTCAGTTTTAATGTGACAGAAGCAGCAATTCAATGTGCAGTCGGTGCTTTTTTATCAGCAGTGTCAATGAACAAGCGTGTGTTACATCAGTGAGGCCTATTGTCACATTTTTTTTGTACTCTTAGCTAAATCTGTTTCCAATTATTCTCTCCTCCTGTTATTGATACCCTGAAGCTTGACGTTCAGGTGTTTACTATTTTTCTACTAGGGATAGCAGGTGTTGCTTAATTGTGTTTCCTGACAGCTAGTTCAAAAAAGAAGCTTTTCATATTCTGTGTTTATAGGTTTGAGTTTTTTGCCTTAGAAATATTATGACATGATATCCGTGTTCATGTCCTGGGGTTGCTCAAATGTCACCCTACCTCCTTTACCTGCACAATCTTCTTCTTTCAGCAGTTTGATTTCCAACAATCTGTTTCCAAATCAGCAAACTTTGAAGCATTGGTCAACTCTCCTCTCTCTTTAGTTCCTCTTTTCCCTAACCTTTCACCAATCTACCTCCAACACAACATCAGTGATCTCTCATTGCAGTTACACATTTTATATCATTTCAAGTTCATCATCAAAATCACATCTATAACCTCTTTAGCTTCTCTGATTTAGCACTCATTTATAATATTATGATAACCATAACTTATTAGTTACTCTTATAATAATCATAATTTGAGTTATTATTAGTGTTCTTCTGAAAAGAAAACAGGAATCATCCATTATTCTAATCATTTGAAACCAAAGTGGCTGCACAATAGAGCTGTTACCTTTCAGGAAGCCTGGTGTTCCTATTTCATGGCTTGGTAATTCTCTCTCTGCCTCACTATGATTTCTTATGATTAAATGCAAAAAGAAATAGAATTAAAGCAAAGTTTACATGAGACAAAACACAACAAATACAACCTGATTGATTTTATTGAAGTTTGAGTCTACCGTTGGGTCCAGATGTTACTTTGCGTGATTCATTTTCAATGTAACTTCATGTATTGTTACTGTTAAACTAAAATCTCCAGCATGGGGAAATGGGATGAGCTCAGGTTTCCTTGACAACATGAAGCGGACCTTCAGGGCATTCTGGGTAAACATAAGCAAAACATGTCAGGCTGGTCTCATGCTGAGCAGATTGTTGAAGATTGTTTGACACATTTGCAAAAGAGAACCACTAAACCACTAAAATCTGACACTGCTCCATTTTTATTTACATTTTGTTAAAAAGGAAAGTATGCTCAGTGCCATGTTTAGATGTTTTTGTGTCGTTTCCTACAGTGGTTCTTGGTGCAGCGCCACCACAGGTGAGGGGGTAGACAGATTGCAATTTTGGTCCCCAATTGAACTGAGCCTACCAGACCATCAATAGATTTTAGTATGTTCCCTGTCTGCACCCTTCTGGAAACTTTGTCAACTAGACAAAATTTCTCTATGGCAACCAAATTTCTGGACCCTCTCACAACCTCATTCACTCCCACTTCTCTTCTGTAAGATCTAGGTTTAGGGCCCCACCCACACTGAAAAGCATTTTTGCAAAACGAGGCGTCAGTTTCAAAGACATCTGAGTCCACACCGGACCATTTCCAGTAATGGTTTTATTCTCTTAGAAACACATGCAACAGCCCATAACCCTGTTTTTACCCCCTCAGGCCAGTGAGTGGCTCTAAACATGAAGTATGCAACACAAGAATTGCAAGCAACAAAGCGAGAGTGGAGTCTTCTGTGTAAGTGACGACAAAGTTGAGCTTCTTCTTCATGTCAAGTTGAATTGTTATGTATGACACATATGAGGCGTTTGGGGTTATATGTCAGGTTATAGGTCAGCTTTTTCTCAAAAAAATGATTTTTCATTCTAGAATCAGTTTGAAAAAATGCTTATTGAGTGGATGACGTTGAAGAAGGTTGCTCATGTGTCTGGTGAGCCATTCCTGTATTTTGGATTGTTATCCCACTAAATAATGAGACATTTGTAGTTTTCTTTTAAAGGCCTCTGTTCTGTACTTTAAAAATCTTTTTTTTTTTTCAAACAGTTCATGATGCGATGCACTCTAACAACATTCCAAGGTCCTTTGGAAGTGAAACAGATCCACAGCATTTCAGTTCCTCTACTATGAATCAGATGCTTTTCCATCTCTTTCTTCCTGGCATTACTCTAAAAACATAAGTTATCATTCAGCGTATTTATACTCCAGAGAAACAGAAACACTTGAATTAATAATTAGAAGCTTCTAGAAACCTCTGGTTCTCTTCCAAAGAAACCATATTAGTCATTTTAGACCCCAGACCAAATGAAAACATCTGATGAGCTGAAGAGAAAAGTGCATAAGAAATCCAACAATCTGTATGCCCTGCCTTAGGAAGTGTTATGGGCAATGAGTGAGTCCTGCCCTACTGGCAAATAGGGCCTCTGCAAAATATAGTATCAGTAGGACTGCCAGCAATTTAGCAACCAGAGACATTTTGCTCTGCTGAATAAGTGTACTCAGATTACAGTTTTTCCTCCAAAATGTTCAATGTGTGATGATGCTACTGCAAAAAAAGATGAATTCAAGATTGTTCAGTCATTGTTCCCAGGGGACCCTACAAATTTGTTCATGACTGTATATTCTGCTGATGTTCTGATTGTTGTTGCGATATGAAGATTTGTCCTGAGTACAGGGGGTGGAGGATGGTGGTTATCATTTCCCTGTGAAGTCTTTGTGTTTCAGCTTCTCATTCCTCTCCCCTGACACAGCTGGTCACCCAAACTGCCTGCTTCCTCCCTCTTATTATTCCCATGGAGATGGGATAAAGTCAGAATAAGAATGGGTCAAACGCAATTTCACAGCTTGCTGCCTATTCAGACATTTACAGGCATTAACCCTTGTGCGTGTGAGGATTGAGGCAAACGTAGAGGACTGTGAAAAGTGATACAAATTTTACGTGTGTGGGGTCGGTTGGACCCCATTTCTGGACACAAGGGTTAAAAGGAACATGGTGGACAATGCATTTTTCCCCCCCATCGCCATGACTGCTCTTCAGATTTATCTTTCTCCATCTTGTATTGTCGACCTTGGGAAAAAAAATACATGAATTGCTCTGACACAGCAGAAAGAAATAGACATAAATGTAAATCCTTTACTTAAAATTAACATTCTAAATTTGAATTTCCTGTGTCAGAAGATGGACTCATTTAAAGAAAAAAGTGCTTGTGGTAATTTCTCTTTATTTCTGTTCCAAGCTATGCTGAACTCATAATTGGGAACACTATTTCCTATTTTTGCCTTTTTTTTCCTTTTTAGTAAAAGTCGGTTGGAAATAAGAAGCATTGCAGTTGTAACTAAAGTTATCAAAGCAATACATTTTAAATATATTAGATACTGAGTGTGTGTCTGAGATTGTTTTCGACCCAAACATAGACATCAGCCAAGCTGATGCCAAGCTGTACTGTTTTAACCAATAGAGTAGTCACACATAGAGGGCAGCACTAAGACAGGCTAAATATTGTAGAATTACATGGTAACACAAAAAATGTCCCAATTAGCATAGATACATAAAGATAGCACCCTTGTGGCCCAATATTGACAATTTATCTGCAAAAAAGTTGATTAGGGTTCTGTTACTGTTTAAGCAACACTAAAAGTATCATACCTTAGCATCATACCTTTATGACTTTAAAGTGTCATAAAGATGTAACACTTTAAGTTAACTTTAAAATGTCATCAAATGCATATAATCTACAACGTTAAACTTCCTAGACCAAAAGCACTAAGGTTACTTGTTTAAATATTAGCTTCACGGATATGAACAGCCCAATGATGCAGTCAGTCTGTGCTCCCCTATTGAGATGTGCTCTATTCTATTCAAATAAACTATAGGAAACTCACAGCTCTGATGGCCACGAAATGGCGAAGCGACGAAACCAACCCTGTGCTTCCACCGTTATGCTTCATGTAGGTATAAGGGCATTGTAGGCTAATGTGGCTAATGATAATGCTGATAAATGGTGGAGTCAGAGTGAGGCTGACAATTAAAATTTTGTATTTTCTCAATTATTGATTTTGGCTTAAATAAGAAAATTAAAATATTGTCATACTGTAATTTATTTAATTTTTTACTCTCAGCTAGTAACAAACATGGGCTGCACAGTGGCGCAGTAGGTAGGCAACAGTTGGTAGCGCTGTTGCCTTGCAGCAAGAAGGTCCTGGGTTTGATTCCCTGCCTGATTGGCATGGAGTGTGCATGCATGGGTTCTCTCTGGGTTCTCTGGCTTCCTCCCACAGTCCAACACATTTGCTGTTTTTCACACCTTTGTTTTCTAGCTCAACTTAAAAGTCTGTACAGAAAATGTTATTTTGAAGTGTATTTCTTTTATTGCACCCTGCTGAAATAATCTGTCATGCTGTGATGCTTCTGTCCTTTTCTTCTTGAGCAAAACGATGGCCTCTGTAAATAAAGTGTTTTGCATTTGTATGCAACAGTACCGAAAAGCAGAGGTGTTTTTTTTTATCTCGATGGATCTGTGAGCACTTACTGAAATGTTTCAATTGCAGTACACCAACTTCTCTTTTCATAATGAAGGAAATGCATCCACAGGTTTTGGTCCAGTAATATTTTATATGCCAGTAAAAGTATATGACCTTCACGAGTGGAAGGGAGTTTCAGGTTAACAGCTACATTTTGTGAGTTTCTTTGCAGCTTTGCGTAAAAGCTGCATATACGTCTCAATATAAAACATCCTGGAAAATATGAATTTGCTTCAGCAATTCAGTTCAAAATATGAAACTGATGAGAGTTCATTACACAGAGGTGGTTATATTAATATGCATTTATGTTATTTAGATGATTATCAGAACCTTATATTTTTAGTTTCTCGGAAAATGGAAATATTACATAAAGCCAATAAAAAAGATTTTTTACAGACATTAAATGTAGCCTACAAAGCATTCTACATATCAAGCCTATGACTATATTTCTGGAAGTTGTGAGGACCCCAGCTTTTATTAATATTCTGGAAGCCCATAATCCCCACCACCTGTTCCAAGATAAGAGGAAGACAACTATTGGATGAACTTGGAAGCTTCCCACCCTGTCTGAAGTGCCAATACCTGGTGTTCTAGCTGTGGTATTGGACTTAATATGACAGGAACCTTGCCTGACCTAAACCCCAAAGAGAATCTTGGAGGTATTGTGAAGGAGAAAATGAGAGACAGTTGATTCCTTCATGTATAGGTGGTGTAATAGGAGCTAATTGTAAGCAGGTAGCTGGCAGGAATTTCTTAAAAACTGAAAATCAAAGTTTAAAAAATGGTAGACAACATGAAGACAATGCTAGAACGGGAAGTCCCGGCAACAGACAGAGTCCAGCAAGGAATAGTTGAAACAGGGAGCTCAAATATGGGTAGATGATTACTTGAGTGGAAACAGGTGAGACTGATAGAACAACATTGGAGAAGCGGAGGGGTGAGTGGAGAAAAGGTAAAACACAAGGAGAGCACAAGCCAAGAAAATAATAAACCAGGAAAAGTTATAGGATCAAAAAAGGAATTAAAGACAACACAGGAATTTTTTGTTGTTTTTATGACGAAACAAACAAAAAAAAAAAACAGAATCAACTCCAGCATATGAAAAATCTAAGTCACAGAACAATCGTTTTAAATGAACATATTCATGACTGGAGCCAACAGTGAAGCTCAGCCAAAGTTAAATGAATCTGGGCTTCCACTACACCACCAAATGCACCACAAGCTGATCACCTTCTTACTACGCTGCACTGATGCAGGAATTCAGGCAAAAGGAACATGACATACAGTACCATACAGTACATGGGTTTCTGGTGCAGACATTGCTTTCTTTTTATTGGTCTTCTCTGAATTATAGTTAAGTCAAGTTTATTTATAAAGCACATTTCAGCAACAAGGCAGTTCAAAGAGCTTTGCACCATAAAATATAATATAGTACCTAATTACGAAACAGGTAACAAATATTATTTTGTCAAAATGCCAAAATCAAATTATAAAGCATTATATTCTTCAAATTTATCGATCAGTGTTCGAGCTATTATGAACCAAAGGCAACTCTACACAGGTGAGACTTATCTGTAATGTGAAGGAACTCAGTGAAATTCCATGAATATTCTAACATTCTTGTGTGCTTTTCAGCTCTAAGCCATAATAAAACATCATTCACAAAGATAAAATAAATCATTTGAAATATATCACTATGTGTAATGGCTGTATACAGTTTAGAAGTCTAACTTTTTAAATTTAATTTCTGAAAAAAATTGTATTTTGGTAATATTCTCTTCTGTTTGCAGAACTTCCTGGGGCTCCCTCCAACCTGGTCATCTCTAACATCAGTCCTCGGACAGCGATGCTCAGGTTCCGCCCTGGTTCTGATGGCAAAACCGTCATATCCAGATGGATCGTTGAAGGACAAGTGTGTTTGTGCTGAGAGTGCACTTTAGTGGTTACCATCAATGTTAAAACACAACAGGAGGAGACCTGTTCTGCAACATGCTCTGTATTTAACAGGTGGTGAAGGAGGATGGGAGGGAGGAGGCATGGAGGGTCGTTTACCAGAAAGACAACGAGCCGAATGCAGACACGCTGGAGATCACCAGCCTCACTCCCTTCACTCAGTACAGGTGAGCAGCAAACGCACAGAGCACGTCTGAGCACTTTCACAGGCTCACAGCACTGCACATGCTAAGTGTGCGTGTGCACATGCTCCAGCTTACACAAATCTCACTCTTCTGCAGTTTCTGCAGTATCGCAGGGCTCAGGTGAAGTTCGATAAATCACACAGGCACACAGAGAGACAGTTCCATCTGAGACTTTTCTGTTTGTCAGCACCTTCACAGCTGCAGCATGCAGATCCTTATTACCCTCTTGCAAACTAGCTATAGGAGAGGGGAGGGGGAAATAAGAGGCATAAGGAAGCGGAGGGGAGAGGAATGCTGATGAGAAAGTTGGAATGGCAACAGAAGGCATTAAACTTCAGGACGAGCAGAGAATAAGAGGCAAGGAGAAGAGGAGAGAATGTGTTCTCTCTTTGATAAGCTCTCATTTTCCTTAAGTCCGCTTGACATGAATGTCCCTGAGGGGACATTCATGTCAATGTTAGGATGAGTCCTAATATTCAGGATTCATACAAAGTGTGGAAAAATATGGAGTTTGTTCTTCTGATTCTGGATTATAATGGAGGAATATTCTTATTTCCAGACTTTATGTCTTGTTCTATTGTTTAAAAATTCGTCCTTTCGTCCATCTGGAAATATCTGTCAAAAATATATTATGAACTTTTCTGGTTTTAGTTTTGTTTATGGCACTTTAAAGTGTTAATTTTGATTAATTAACACATATCCTAACACAATTAATTACTTTTTTCTTTTTTACATACAAAAGTCCTTTGTGTATCTATGATACACAACATATCCATATCCCCTAAGCAAATGGATTAATGACAAAGCTGCTTCTCCTGGTCCACTGGCATTGGCAACACCAGAGAATTATGAGTTTTATAAAGGTGTCCAAAAGAAACTTTGATCCAACAAATACTATTATATAGCTAAGTCACAGGAGTGCGCCTCTGAACCACCTTGATCCAACTTTTGATCAGCTAAACAACAAACGAAAACTATAAAAATTTGAATCGATGATCATCACCACTGCTTGGTGGGGCATCAGCAGGGGGGTGGGCCGTTTGCAGGAGGATCTTAAGAACCTGCATGCTCATTTTGATTAATTAATTACAAACCCTACGATTAACTTGTTTAAATTTTTAATCGAGTCCCAAACTAGTTTTAGTTTAAAAATTTAATCAGCGAATTCTGGAAATGTAACTTTTCAGAAGTTTGATATTTTGATATGAAAATATGTTCGAAGCTAACACAGCTCTCATTGTCACAGGCAGAGCCACTGGGACACTAGATGAATCGTTGCACTTGTCTGTATTTCTGGTTTCTTCTTCCATCTTGCTTTCACTTGTTCCCCATCGCATAGACAATAACTCATAGATGTAGTCTCTTAGGCAAACTCTGCCAATCACACATTTCATCAGTCACAGCCACACCGAAGCATAGCTGCATTTAGAAACAGAAAAAGCAACAAACTCTCTCTCATGAATGTTTTTGTGTTTACAAGTCTACATGTTTAGACATAGCTGTTTTACTGACTCACTACTTGCTGCTCTCAGACAACTAAAGAAGTTCTCATGAAGAGCTCCAGATGTTGATTTTTGCTGTTCAATAATTTAATAGTGAAAACATTTCTAAAGTTTGACACTATGCCTAACTTTTAAAGATTTGAAATCAGACTATCCTTTTACTGATCTTGTCAGAGAGGTAAGATAAAATATTTACAACCTTTTCTGACACTTTTACCAGTCAGTAAACCACTGTGTTAGAGAAACATAGGAATTTGTTGGGTTTCCTTTATACAGTTTTAATAATGAGTGCCTCTGTCACAAGGTTGTGTAGGTTGTTTGAGTAAAAATGCTGTGTTTAATCTACTACAATAGAACAATGCTAGGGCTGTTGTAAACCATTATTTTAGCAATTGAGTATTCTATTGATTATTCTGACAAATAATTGAGTAATCAAATAAGAATTTGATAAAATAAAACATTGGTAGATTCTACCATAACGGTAGTATTAATACCGGATATCAACATTGGCCCAAATTTTCATATTTGTTCATGTCTACAATTACTTTTCTATACTTTAGAAAATTAACCTGTAACAATAATAGCTCACTTTTTAAATTAACCTGGACAAAAATTATACAAAAATCTGAAATTATATTCAATTTAATAATAAAGAGGCAGGCTCACAAAGACACTTATGAGAAAATGTTATACTCCAGTTTAACGTTTACATATTCATCTTCTATCAATTTAATAGGTGAACTCTGACTTTGCCCAGATATTCATAACTTTTATGTCCATATTAGTGACAGGATTTGGCTCCTTCATCACACACAGAAACGCACAGAACTACATCTACCAGCTATGTACGGCCACAATGTGCTCCTCCACACATTAGGAGGGGATGATATGAAATTTACTTTGCAGTTTGTCCTTAAAGCTACAGTTACGCTAAGCATCAAATACAGAACTACCACCTGCTTTGTTCCGTCTATCCGCTCCATCTGCATAAATACTCCCGTTCACTATTCCCCACCTTTTGCTCTGAACCAGCCACAGGCAGCTGCTCCGGGAGGAAAAAGGCTGTCGTATACCATGCATTGTTCCAGTCAGTTTAAGTTTGCTTTTAGGTCCCCAGGAAAACAATAAAAATCCAGTAATTACCGAACTTGAAAATTGGATGTCATGCTGTTAACACTTAGCATTTATCAACAACTCATAGGCGGAAGTGAGAGCATTGCACAACACAAATAGTAACCTGGGCGCAACATGGTGTGCTAAATAATAAAACATAATTT